CCTTACTAATTTATTTTTTTTTACCACTTTTGTGTCCATTTCTGTCATCATGTTTTGGTTCTGGAGGGGCTTTTTAAAGTATTTATCTGACTCATTTTTAGCAGCAACTGGGGAACTGGTGAAATAAGTTGGACAAAATAAGAGATGGCTTGAACCTTTATGTGCAGCAAAAATAAATGGGAAAATCATCTGTACTTTAACATAAGAAACAAAGGGCTTGAGAATAGGTTTTAAGCAAACCCTACCTGAGAGTAAAAATATCTTTGCAATTTCATATGCCAAAATAACTCCAAAAGGCTGTTTGGAGGTCAAAGGCTGTTTTCTTATGGTTCTCCTTGGAATAAAAAAGGGAATTCTAGTGACATATAATAGCAGTTTCATTTAGCAGAGAGCCTTTGGCAGACAGCTCTGATGCTGTAGCCTCAGGCCACAGAAATTCCCTGATTTGCTGTTGATAGGTGTGGCCTAATCTGATCTGTTGGGGCTTGAGCTTTTTTAGAAATGAAATTTTAAAAAAAACCTTTCCTAAACACTCAGAGTCTCCATTTCTCTTTCCATTTCCAAAGCAAAACTTCAAATAAATACAGAGACACATTAAAATACATACATATATACATATATATATATATAAATACAGAGACACATTAAAATACATATATATATATATGTATATTTATATATAAAGAAAGGTAGCTAGATAAAGAAAAGGTCTATTCTCTGGCAGATGAGATTAGGGAGCCACAAGCAACCACTGTTTAAAAAGTGGCATTTCAATTCTCCTTCCCATCACTAATAACTTTACACATTACTGTGGAGAAATGAATGGAAAAATCCATAAACGTACCTGCTACACCTCAAGTTTCGAAATTGTTTGGTAGAAAACTTCCAAATATCCATATTCCCACAAAATTTTAAAGTTGTTTTTTTCTAAGACCCTACTATATGGAAATTGTTGGAATTATGAATGGTAAAAGGAAATGCCAGGAATTTTCTGTCAGCTAAATAATATATATTTATATGTAATTATTGAGAGAATTTTTTAATCTGATTAAACAAATTTTTAAAAGTCGAGATTAATTAAAGTATTTGATGAGTAAAATTCAGTCTTTGAATTAAAAAAAAAAAAAATTCTCAAAGAAAGAAGCATATTTTGCACTTTGCACACCTTTTCAAAGGCTGCTCCTGACAGGAGCATTGTGTCTCCCAACAAGCAGAGAGCTGTTCTTGCTTGGGATGCAAATATATTCTCCCAAATAAAAAGAACTTTTGCCTGGTTACCACATTCATGTTCCAAATACCAGCAATAGATTTGCATCAATCCTTGCAAAGCATCAAGATTGTGCTAAATTCTTATTTTCCCTCCTTGCACCATTTCAATTTTGTAGAATGTCATTGCTTCCTATGGCTTCTATCTATTGTGGGTGTCTAATATGTTATTATCTACCTGCTCTGCCTTTCAGCTGCAATAAAATTGTCTGTACTCTTTGTGTTTTATTTTACTTTCCCCTTTAGGTTATATCCAACAATGGCTTTTTTCTCCCAAAAGCTTTCCTAGCTCACATTCGTAACTTGATGAATATTTACTAACATATAGACCAACATATTTTTATTTTGTTTCCTCTAGGAAAATGGAGTGAATGTGGAAGGGGGTGAATGTTTTGCACTTTCCTGTGACATCTCTTCCTTTGGTTCAAGATTTGCCACCACATCCTGCCACACTCTGTGCAAATGCACCAAATCACAGCCAGAACAGCAGCAAAAACTCCTCCTGGAATTCCAGATATTCACCCAGCACAGGCTAAAGGAGCCTTTTATCCCTCAGCACCCATCAAGCAGCAAATGAAAAGTCGGTGTTGGATCCTCACAGTAACAGCTCCAGCTGGGACTTTTCCACTGGTGCTGAAAATCCCTCAGCTAAACCCTAATTGTTGTGTCTTGGTAATCAGGCACATCACACCCAGCCAGGAAATTAAAAGAAAAAATTCCTTTCTAATTAAAACTGGAGTTATGAAAGCCAGAGCTGCACAGAAAGTTGAAACCAGTGGTTTTGGTGTTTATTTCATCACTGCTCCTTGGCATCCAAGATCAATGTGCTCCTGCTCCAAGTGCAATAAAGGATTCCCAAAATGCAGATTTTACTCTCAGAGTCTTTGCAGTCCCCATCACAGCTCACAGGCAGAAAAGCACAAAGCCTGATTTTATTTCCATGTGGAAACAGGAATACTGAACACAAAGGTTTGCTGGAGAACAGCTTCACACAAACAGCAGAAAAGTTGCTCTGAAGCTAAAGAAATGTAAAATCAGCTCACCCAGCAACTTAATCTTGGAAAGCAGTAAAAAGAGCTATATTTAATGATGCTATTGTTCAGTTGGAATAATTTATGCTTAATTTCTCAGGGAAATTCAAATCTTTTATGCCAAGCACTGATATTATTCCTTTTTTATATTTTTATCAATGGTTCAGTTGCCCCTTAATCAAAAGACAATGCAAGAGGGAATATTTCTCATTCAGCAGAGCATCTTGACTAATTTTATGGTCCCATATGTGATCCCTCTGAACAGAAGTTCACACAAAGAGCAATTTACAGCACACACATAGCTGGAGAGCTAAAAATAGAATATGCAAAACTCAGTCTTGGCGGCAGAACCCTTCCAATGCCCTTTGGGTTTCAGCTGATATTCACAATTTGATTAAACATGCTCCAAGAACGAGTGCACGAGCGTGCATTCTATATTAGCAGGAAGGAAAATAATTCTGTCTGTTTATCCTGGAAACATCTCCCTCAGGTGTTTTTTACTGCAGTTATTTAGGATGCAAAATGAGCTATGGAACAATATCTTGTATCTTAAAGGTCAGCTGCAGCTTGTTATAAACTGTGAATAAAATGAAATCCCCTGATTTCATTTCTGAGTCTGGAGCTGTGGTTCTCATGGAGTCCATATTGCAAAGCTTTAGCTCATAAGATCTAAAAAAATCTCCATTAATTTTAAACAGATAAGTTCAAGCAGTCACTGATCTGCATCCTGAGGATTTCACCCCTTTATCAGTTTAGAATCAGTCTCTGTGCAAAGCTAAAAAAGCACTGAAATGCTGAAATACTGACTCTCTGATAAGCACATGGAACTAATTCCAACAAGGAGCAGTGAAGCCAAGTCAGAGAAAAAGAAATTTATATTGAAAGCATTTTAGAACTAGTATTCACCAGAAATGTTTCGGTAAACCACAAGAAAAAGACATATTATTAAACTTAATATTGCAGATGTGGAAGGTCTGATGATTTCCCATTTACTCTGGGATTCAGAGGGGTGAACTGGTGTGAAAGCTGAGCAGAAACACTTTGGTATTGCCTTTGATCTCAGAATGAAGAGCAAAATATAAAACTCTGTATAAGCCTCTGCCAGTCACACCTGACTGGAAAACCAACCCCCTGCCTGCCCTGCTGCTCCCTGGGAAGGAGGAAAATTCTGCTGGCACTGGGAACATTCTCCCAAAGCCTTCCCAAAGTCAAAGCCCACACCTTGTCCTGATCCTGGCTCTTCAGGGTGTTTTATTCTCTTTCTCCAGGAGGAAGCACCTGAGCTGATTTAGGCTGTGACCAAATTTAAATAACCAAGGTATATTTTCCTTCCCCAGCAATCAAATATTACATTGATTTGTGAGAGCAGGAATTACTCAGCAACAGCAAACTGTTCTTGCTGGTTTAGAAGTGCACAAATGAAATGTAAGGAGCTGCTGCCATAAAATATCCACTCTGAGTTATCACACAGGATTTGTTTTCTCTGATTGCATTTTAAAAGACCACTTTTAAAACAAACATCAAGTACATGCCTGACTTTATTCTGCAGCTCAGCACAGACCTATAAAAAGGAAAATACACATATTCATAAACTAGAAAGAAAAAATCTATTTGTTCAGCAACATTAACATTCAGCTTGACCTTTCAAAGAACAAATCTATTGGAATTACAAAAATTTGCAGTCTCTTAATAAGCTCTGTACAAAAGAATCCAATGCCACAAGCAAACACGATATTTCCATTCTGGCCTCCTGTACAGAGTAAATAAAATACTTCAGGATGCAACTCACCTGAAACCAGAATGAATAAAGGTCATTAAGCTCACTGGTTTAACCAATCCAATTTGTGCTCTTTGAGCATTAATTGAAATTTCTTAGACACAAAAAATAATTTTGCACATATGAAGACTCAGTGAAAACCAGACGTGTTACCAACACATTTGTGTTCCCAAATTTATCTGCACCAAAACTAACTATATTGGTCACCCCAATCTAATGACAGCAGGAGTTTTTAAATGGTCTTGCAGTCTTTAAAAAAATCCCTGTCCTTAAAAAAAAAAAAAAAAAAAAAGAAATACACAGTTTTTAGGGCACCTGTTCTCATTTTGAGGACCTCAACAGTACTTAATGCTTCATAATCAACAACAAGACGTTAAAGAATTAACACTTCTCAAAAAAAGAATTACACCTCCTTCTGCTGATGCCTCAGGTTTTAGCTTTTATATTTTTCAGATTCTGTGCTGCTTTAGGGTGTGGGTATAGGACTCCCATTAGGGAATGGTGAGCTCTGCACAGAGCAGGGAGACAAAACAATTCCTGCTCCAGCTGGGCACCAAGGACAAATGATCCAAATCTCAGCCCAGGAGCACAAACACCGTGGGCTGGAGAGAGAAAAACAAGCAGGGTGGGAGTGCCTGGGCTAAAGCTGGAATGGGACAATGAACTCCAAGGTGCCAATGGAGCAGAACTGATCCCAGGGAGAGCCCCCGGGAGCGCTCGTGCATTTTGGGACCATTTTGGTTCATTTGGGTGCAGCCCTGGCTGGGCTCTGGTGCTGCCCAAGGTGGATCCATGGAGGAGATCCTTTAATAAATCCCTGCTTTATTCTTTAGCTCTGTCTGGTCTCTCTTCTAGGGCAACCTTCCCAAGGCATCACTGCTAAGCCTCACTTAATTACCCTCCAAAAAACAAAGGCATCGACTCACCAGAATTTTTGTCGTGTAAGCACTGTTGATAGCAATTGCATTGACCAGCAGCTCCATGGTTTTGGCAGGGATGGAGTCGGGGTCGGGGATCTCCTTGTAGTGGACGTCGCCCACGTAGGCCTGCACCACGGTCATGCGGTTGGTGGTCAGCGTGCCCGTCTTGTCCGAGCAGATGGCCGTGGCGTTGCCCATGGTCTCGCAGGCGTCCAGGTGCCGCACCAGGTTGTTATCCCTCATCATTTTCTGAGGGGAAAACCCACCAAAAACCAAGTAAGAAACCTTTGGGTGTCGGCTTTGACAGGTTTTTAGTCATAAAAATGAAAGCAGCCCACAGTTAGTCCTGCTGGTGAGAACATTCCCTAAAGCAGAGCTTTGGTGGGGGCCAATAACCCCAAATCCCAGTTACAGACAGCCAAGCTGTGCCTGTCCCTGCCTATTCATATCTCTAGTTTGCCTTTGATAATTTTTAAAGGAGTTGCATCATTTTCCTGCAGTAGGTTTGCATTTTAAAGGATAGCTGGAACGGGTTGTTACCTCTCATTTTCTGAGGGGAAAACCCAGCAAAAACCAAGTAAGAAACCTTTCGATGCTGGTTTTTCAGGTTTTTAGTCATAAAAAGGAAAGCAGCCCACAGTTAGTCCTGCTGGTGAGAACATTCCCTAAAGCAGAGCTTTGGTGGGGGCCAATAACCCCAAATCCCAGTTACAGACAGCCAAGCTGTGCCCGTCCCTGCCTATTCCTATCTCTAGTTTGCCTTTGATAAACTAAAAGAGCTGCATCATTTTCCTGCAGTAGGTTTGCATTTTATGGAATAGCTGGAACAGGTTGTTATCCCTCATCATTTTCTGAGGGGAAAACCCAGCAAAAACCAAGTAAGAAACTTTTCGATGCTGTTTTTTCAGGTTTTTAGTCATAAAAAGGAAAGTAGCCCATGGTTAGTCCTGCTGGTGAGAATGTTCCCTAAAGCAGAGCTTTGGTGGGGGCCAATAACCCCAAATCCCAGTTACAGACAACCAAGCTGTGCCTGTTCCTGGGGTAATTTGCCTTTGATAAACTAAAAGAGCTGCATCATTTTCCTGCAGTAGGTTTGCATTTTAAGGAATAGCTGGAACAGCAAAGATGAGCCAAAAGAACCAGAGATAACAGCGTTTTTTAAAAATTATGGTTATAGCAAACATTTGGGTTTTTTTCTTAACACTGCTTGAATGCCAGGACATTATCTGGCAGCACACACACATTTTGGGGGAAAAGCAAAAGAGAAAGGGTGTCAGAGGAAGGACATCAGGAGAATGAGAAAACATTTTCAAAGCAGCTACACTCTTCCTTAGCAAAACCCCATCTTTGAGACCTCCTCCTTTTTCCTAATTGTGATATTTGGCTACACAGAAGCCAAGAGATTCCTTCCTAAACTTCCTAAGTCAATTTGTTTACATACTAAATGGAAATGAACTTTACACGATCTTCATCTAAGATTCTCAGAATGTTTAAATCATCTGATTAAATTGCCCAAGTAATCCTGAAGTCAGGGATGCTAATCCTCTTTAATTTCCTAATAGAACCATTTACATTGACTTCAAAGAACCGAAACTGCATTTAGGAAAAGTACATGAAAGCTTCAGTGAAACTCTTAATTTCTTTTAGTAACTCCAATTTCCCTGAGAAGTGTTCCTGAAGACTCCAAAACCTTGTCAAAAGTTTGTACAACTGCACAAGAAAATTTGAATACAAAATTATTCTATATCCAAAGACTGGACTATTTTCAGAGTACATTCTGCTCAATAAATTTCTGCTTCCTTGCAAATTAAGTAGGTATTTCTATTGTTTTATATTCCTGCACTGTGCAGTTTTAAGGAGATGTGCTGGAAGATGCATTTGCATTTTTGTTCGAAATACTTTCAGTATAAGTTTTCTTTAAAGCAATATCATTAACATTTTGAGCACAACATTTTTAGACCACCTTTCATCCCATCTGATAAAACCCGAGGACCAATTCAGTAGTGAACTCAAGCAAACAGCACTTTTCTCCCTGGATTATTTTGAATGTCTCTTACCTTTACAGAATAAGCCAGAGAAATAGTGACAGCAAGTGGGAGTCCCTCAGGAACAGCAACCACGAGCACAGTAACACCAATAATGAAGAATTTAACAAAATACTGAACGTAGACAGGAGTGCACTCAGGCAACCACTGCTTCTTGTTGACCACAAAGGTGTCAATGGCAAAATACAGTACCAGGATGATGACAGTGATGGCAGACATCACCAGACCTGGGAGGAGAAATCACCAGTTACCATAAACCCAAACACCACTGAGAACACGAGCAATTAGAAATTGGGATTTGATAGGAAATTCTTTCTTTCTTTCTTTCTCTGTGACATTTTTCACCAGTACCAATAACAAGGATAAACTGTACAAGGAAGAAAAAAAACATTGACATAATATACTTACAGCAAGCACACATTCCAGTACACCAGGAATTCTAGGGAATTCATTTTTAAGCACTTACTGCTGCCTTTAAAACTTCCCAGGCAGCACAGGAGTTCTGCTGTCACTTAAGCTAAGCTTATTCGATTTAGCACATTACTTTGCCTGGTACAACATTTGTCTGGCCTTTTAACCCCCACCTTTTACAAATTACTTGTCTATCCATATTTAAATACCTTTCTTCTAAGTATATCTTTAGAGGCTTGAGCCAAGGAGCTTCCCATAGTTTATGTGGCTGTATAAAATGCTATAGGAAAGCCTTACAGATGAGTCTGGGGGAATATAAAGAGGCAATAATGCAGAATTATCGACTGGGCAGTTTTACACTGGGTTTCTTTAAAGTGTGACTAATACAGGTTTTTCCAAGGTGTCCCTTTTCAAGGGAACATCTGCAGAGTGTATATTTTCATGTGTAGAGGTTCTAAAGAGACAGAGCCACCAATAAATATTTCACAGAATTGACAAATTATCCCAAGCATTCCATCCCCTCTCCCAGTGGCACAGGCTGCTGGGATGGCACTCCTGCTCCACAGCTTTGTCCCTGGGTTTGAGTATACAAATAAAATTTCCATTATAGTTTTAACTTTGCCTTGCTCTGACCAGCCCTTGGTTTGGCAGATTTGTGTGAAGCAGTTCAGCCTGCATTTTGGAATAAATTAATTTCTCCCTAATGAGATCATAGAGCAGAAGGAGAATGCTGTGAATTTCATCTCTTGACTGCAGTTAAAAAAAAAAAAAATTGATAAAGCTGAAGGATGCTAAGGTCGACAGGAAACAGATGAGTCAGGGACATCACTCTGTGCCAGAGGATAAGGGAATATCCATTAAAATATTGTACAGGCAAATACTCCTGACAACATAAGACATCCCCATAGGTTGCTCAACGCCATAGAAAAACCAAATGAGGCAATGATTAATTAATTTAATTGCTGTTCCTTGCCACATTCTGGTCAGAAATCCCCACACAATTACTTTAAGAGTGGTGTTCACATGTCAGAGTAGAAGTCAAGGCAGTGCAGAAAAGCATTTATCCCAAGGAATTAATCACCAGGGGAAATTAAGGAGAGAAGCTGGAGGAATATGAACTGGGGTAAGGCATGAAATTGGATATCAGGGATGATAATCCTGGATTTGGTCACACTCTGCTCAGGCAAAAGGAATTGGCATCATGAGGTTATGTGATCAACTCCTGTGATGAACTCACAGAGGGATGGGAAGGGAAAATCCAGACTGGGGGAGAAGGCTGAGGGAGATGGAACAGAGGGAAAGGGATCTTGTAGGGCCTCCACCAAGGAGCTGAGATCAAAATCTCTTTAAGGAGATCAACATCTCTTTAATATCATGCGAAAAGCAAACCTAAGGAACTTTAGCCCCTTATGGAAGGTTTCCATTCTCTGCCTACATGCTGGAGAAGTTCTGCTGCCAGCACCAGGGGCCAGATGGTTCTGGATACAGGAGCTGAAAGATGTGTCGTGCTTGGGGAGAAGGCAGGAATGTGGATATTTGGGGAGAAGAGAATGATTTCAGAATCCATGAGAGGGAAATACTGTGTGAGAGATATTTTGAGATGGTATTAGAGATTCTGAAACCGTGCACTCCCAAATTCTGAGGGGAGATGAAATTAAATACGCAATTACTGCACTTGGGAATATTAACTCTGAGAAAAGCTGCATTTCATTTTGATTCAAATATTCATTACAATCTAAGTTGCCCAAAGCTCCTTGACAGTCAAAGCAGATTTTTAGGAGAATAAAAGATCTTCAGCACCACATACTCTCCTCAGAACAGCTGTGTGATGACCCATTTCCAAATCCTGCAGTAAAATAGGGCTTGTCCCTTTTCAGAACCATTTGTTTTCTAGCTCTCTGCCTCCTGTGACCCAGAGGGGTTTGGTGTCCCCCAGCCATACCTGCTTTGCCAATCTGTACTGCCAGCTTGGTCAGCTTTCCCTGCAGGACGGATTTTTCCTTCTTGTGCATGTTGGACTTCTTCTTGTCCTTGTCGTCTCCCTCTCCCCCTTCCGCACTCTTCAGCGGCTGCATCTCCATGGCAGCAGCCCCGTCCTGCTGCTTGGCTGATAATGCAGAACAAAACTGTTACTCCAGAGCTTTATCCCTTCCTTTTCTCTGGGTTCATCCTCTCTGAACCCAGGCAGCATCACAGGGGACAATCTCTGCCAGGGACACCCTTGTCTCCCTGGAGACCCAGCGGGGCTCTGCAGGACACGGCTGTGCCAGCACATCCCTCTGGACATGTGGGGATTTGGGCTGGAAAGCACTGATTTGGTTTATCCCTCATTACTACCCCCACCCACGATGCTCTGGCCATACACATATATGTCACTGAATGTCTTGGCCGTGACTTGGCAGGTGACAGCCCCAGCCCTGCAGGATTCCCTGGAACAGCAGGGCTCAGGTGCTCCCACAAAGCCATATTCCTCTGGATTTTGGGATGCCTCTCGGAAAGCAGTGCCCCCTCATAATCATATTTCCAATGCAAAGGTTTTGAAGGCCACGTGGCTGCACAGGTGGCCCATGTGTCACCTCTCTGGGCTGCAGGGGCACCTCAGTGACCAGGGGACCACACTCTGCCATCCACCATTGCAGAAAATCCCTCTGTTATAAAGTTTCCTCAGCATTCCGTGATCAAGGTCCTCAGCCCTCGGGTCTGATGGCGGTGGCACCGCCACTCCCCCACAAAACCCACACCCCGTTTCAGGGCTGGTCCCTCCTTTCCTGACAGAATGCCAACAGAGGAAACTTTATTTTTTAATGTGTTTCTGAAAGGCAATGACATTGCAGTGGATATATGTGCATGTGTCTGGTTTGTACAGAGCATAATAAATAAAATAGGATGAGATGAAACAGCTTTGCTTTCGTGAAGAGATTGTACAAGACTGTGCTTGTTTGACCTGGAAATCTAATTTATCTACCTAGCCTGAATGCTTATTATTAATAGCATTTTATTTGGTACTTTTGTACCATGAACCACTGAGTTTCTCTATCCAGTTTCTGTGCCATCACCTTTGCAATGTTCAATATTATCTGAGAAGAGAAAATTATAATTTTATTTGGTATAACCCGAAGAGCTCATGATTGCTGTGTCTTATAATAAAAAGGGAACCATGACTTTGCTTCAGAGAAAGCAAAATATTGATTCCAATTTCTTCCTGACACTGTATATTAAATAAGAAACTCCTAACACTCTGAATCTTCCTGTTGTTTATCCTTATAAAAGGCTTTTACACTGCTAAACAACACCTTGGCTTTAAGGTTTCCTTTTTTTATTGCTTTGTCTTTCCCCTGAAAATGAAGAGATGTCCAGACAATGCCATCAGACACCAGAGATGATGAGACACAAAAAAACTGGGCTGGAAAATCACTAACAATACATAGGATACACAACTTGTACAGGAAAAAAATTAATTCAAATGAGCTTTGTGAGATGAAAGTAACATCTATAAATGGTTCCTTTAAAATAGTCCTCTGCAGCTTGTGGAAGTCACAATCTCTTTGGTTGGGGTTGGTTGTTTGGGGTTTTTTTGGACATTCTGCATGAACAATTAGGGCCAGTTTCACACACAGGCACAGATCACAGGTTGTCACTGTACTTTGGGACAGGGTTGAACTACATGCTCTCAATACAATCCACAACCTCCTGAATAGCAAAGAAGATTACCTTTGTTCTGGTTGTTCTCCATATTCCCATCCTGCATCTTGCCTAAATGATGAAAAATTCCAACAGACAACAGACAGTAAACAACCTTCAGCCAAGACAGAACACGAAAATGGGGATTTTTATCAATGGGAGACAAAAGCCATGAGCACACCACGGGCACCTGGGCACCATCCCCTGCCCTCACGCCTGCACTCACAGAGGGGCCAACCCAGCCTGGCATGCCCAAGGAATTCCAGCCAAGCTCAGGGCTGAAGCACCTTAAATGCTGAATATCAACACAAATCTTTGAGGAATCTGCATAAATTCAGAGGGGGAAATGAATAAAGTGGATCTGGTGGAAAGAGGAATTGGAATAATATTCCTGAGCTGATGTTTCAGAGGGCTGGGACTTAAAAATTCTGGCATACACCAGTATAGAGTATGGCATTCTTAATGTATTCCAGAATTAAATTAATCATGTTACTAAATTGAGGAAAAAATAGAAACAATGGTGTTAATAAGTCTAAATAACTAAAAAATGTAAATCAGATAGGATTTTAAAATTACATCTTCCTCGCTTGGTTGTACTAATCAGCAAATTTCTTCTGGAAATACAAGTGCCAGGTGACCTAAATTCAGATTTATCCCGAACATAGGTTTACCAAGTGCCTCTTTAATTTCCAGCTTGACATTTTATCCAAAAACAGTTTTACCACAGCAAAGTCCTTATTCCTTTGTGCCTTTTTAAAGTGGAAATGTCATTTGAAAGTGTGCATGAGATAAAAATGGCAAAATGTACAAATCACATACAAAACCTTGGTATCCAGAATAACAGCTATATATTTTCAAATGTATTCAGAATTTCTCGGTAGGATCCCTTATGAAACTTTCACAGTAATTATATGAATTTATGGAAAAGACTACAAGAAATATTATCTCAGAATGGATGACAGTGTCTTTTGGTAGTTATGTAAAATGCACAATAAAAAATGATGCTAAGGGAAATTAGGTTAAAACTCCATTACAGGATTGTTGACACATTCTAATAAGAAATGTACCATCAGAATTTATTAAAAATGTGCCAGCAGGTACATCTTGTTCTTCTGACTGCTATGTGGATTAATTTTTTCACTCTGCTGTGAATAAATCACAACAAAATGGAAAAGCTAAGATGTGTCTCTTGCATGTTGGTCTTTGCACTAAGTGGGAGAGCAAAAGTGACCAAATTAGTCTTGTATTTGTCAAAAATAGGCCCCAGTGCCACACTGGGAAATTCCAAAGCCCAGAAGCAGAGCCAGGGAAAGGACATCTCCTGACCTAAAGTCATCTCAGAGCTCAGGTGGATAAACCACTGACCATCAGCTGCTTCTCTGTATTTCTAATTCTATTCCCACCCTGGCAATAACAGGACTTCTTAAAATCCAGACTCCACCTTCCAGAGCTTTACACTTTGCACAAGAGAGGAATCCATGAACCTGAGCAAAACCAAGCTCAATTTCACGGGGAAATTCCCTATAACACCTTGGCTCTGGGGCACAGTTGGACTCAGTACCTGCCTGGTGGCTGTTTGTCTTAGAAGGCCTTTTAATAAAGTTACTGGATAACACAAAATATCTCTGGAGATTTGGATTTCTGGCTGGAGCACAAAGCCATCCCAAAGAACTGGAAGGCATTAATTTAGAGCAGGCAGTCTGCTCCATTTCCTGCTCTGGAGATCCTTTTGCAGAGTGCAATTCCTAACCTCAGAGTGGCAAAAAAATTGAACAATACTCAACTTTCAAAAAGATAAAAATCACCAACAAAACCCAAACGTGGCTGTCCCAACTGGCAAACATATCACAGAGATAATTTTTTTTTGTAAATTAAAATATGAACTTTTAAGACATATATTTGCTATTTAATAGCATAATTATCAAATAAATTACAACAAGAATTGACTGGCTACCTGAAAATAACAGTACACAAAATAAACAATCATTAACAACAGTTTAAACTCAGATATTTTTAAAAAATACATTCTTAATACTCTTAAATCTACTGCATTCAGGTTATTGAGTGGAGGAAGTCATCAGAGGTAGTTACAGTTTAGTTATTTAGACAGAATAACAAAGAGAAGGTAATTTGAGTAATGAAGATAAAGAAAAGGAAGCTGTAAACTATTTATATCCTCCTGTGCCAAATAATTTTAAGGCTGCACTTTGGTATAAAATATGGACAGGGAAATTAAGGCAGAAAGAAAGGTGACAGAATCACCACTGCTGAGAGATCCTTCCTCCTTCCAGGTCCAAATACTCCCCCATCCTCCTCTCCTTGGTGCATTATTTGGAATTGTCAAAAGGAGGAGTATTTATTAATATTTTGATAGCATCATGTGAAATAATACTTTAAAAATAAAATAGTTTTTTACATAATTCTGAAAATAATTTTGTTTTCTGTTTGGAGTAATAAATAAAATGAATGTTGTTTGGGCTGGAGAAATCCATCTGAGTTCTTTATTGCTTTTCTAAGCAAGGATGAAAAATCAGAAATTTTAGAATATCATTTCTAACATCTGTATTCTGCAGCTGATATTGAAAGTTCTGAATTTAAATATAAATATTTTTCACATATATATTTGTGAATTTAAATATAAATATTTTTCACATATATATTTCACATATATATAGTGAGCTTTTGCCTCACTACAATTCCTGTATTTTGGAAAGGACTCCTGACACCTTTACTGACAAAACTCTTACTATAAAAGTCATGGACTTCACCAAACAAAATTCCTAAGGAAAGCCTCCATTTTACCTGCTGCAGCCCTTGAGGACAATGTCACAGAACAACAAATTCCTATCAATGTTTTGGAAATTATTTCCCACATTTGGAAATTATTTCTAAATTGGAAAAAGTGCTTGGAATCAACCAAAGAAAATAATGGACTTGTGTTCCAAGTGCTGAGAGGGAACCACTGTGTTAGCAGGACGTTTTAGATAATTCTTCTATGCATTCAATAAATAACTTTCCTTACAATTCAGAAATATATTAAAATATAAATTTTAAAATGCATTAAAAATAGAAAAATAATATTTAAAAGTAAGCTCAAACTGCAAATTGCTTTGCAGGAGCAGAAGTAGCTCAGTACCTACACTGGGATTGGCTGTAGATGTAAAATATTCCAGCAGAGATTTCTCTGACTCTGGTAAGCCATTTCTATACCTTTTCTATATTTTATGAACACACATTTATGTAGCAAATTCTCTATCTTACAAAAGCCAAAAATACCCCAACAACCCACCCTGGAAATCCTGACTTAGGAAGGTGGCAGTGCTCTACTGGAAAGAAATCAAATTTGGGGTAATTTGAGCTACTAGAAGGAAATCAAATTTGGGGTAAACAAGCTGTAAACAATGATTGTTGCTTCCTTGATTTTCA